CGAAAAATGACACCCCTGTTTGAAAATCCAATTTTCATATAAGAGATGTGGAGTTATACATAACATACAATTAAGCTAAATGATACAAAGACTAAGGAAGAAAGAGATGGATGCTAGAAACAAGATTTTATACAAGATTTCCAAAACATCATATAATCAACTCATTAGGAAATGACAGTCTTGATTATAACCAGGCATAACAAGGAAATAAATAGGCACTAATGATGCTAAATGACATTGTTGATTCAACCTAGCACTATCTCCGAAAGAATATTGAACAGACAAGCTACAATGGAGGAAGTTCAATGAAACTTAACCATTTACAGCGAGTTAATAGGGTATAAATGCTAGATTAGCAACTTCCCTATAGGTAAAAGATTGCCCATAAAGTTTACAACAATGGTAACTCCAAGGGGAATAAGAGGACTACTAAACTTACCCGAGATCTATGAAAACGAGCTAACCCTTTTGCCACAATGTTTGACTTGGCTTTTCTATTTTACCTCATAGATTGTTTAGAGTTTATGATTCTTCCCACAAAGCATCACAAACAGCCTGTTGCAGAAGCACAATATTCATGTTTTTAGTTTATTCCCATAAAAATCATGATAAACAACAGGGAGGCTACATTCAATAAATTATACATTATTCAATCACATATTCAGAAGAAATCAACGCATAATAGAAGATTTAAGCTAAATCTCCTTCTCTAACTTACTTACTATGTCCCTCAGAATTCATCCTCCTCTACTTCGAGCAGTTTTTTTTAATAATATGCTTCGAGCAGCTTTCACTCTTATACCCTCAATCCAAGCAGATTTATGATGGATCTTTTATTTTTATCCCTTTCTTCCTTGTTCGCGATGGAGAAGAGTCTCATGTGTGTGACAAATAGAGGAAGACTATTTTTAGGGTTTCGCAAGATAAAAGTTGGGCGGTGGATTCCAGAGCCGGGACCTTTTCCTCCCTTTTTCTTCGAGACCAGAAACCTCGCCATCAATCCCAAAAAAATCAGATTAAAAAAACACAATCAGAACCCTAAACTCAAATCTTAAAAATCGACATGCAATGGAAAAATGGATCATACCTCTGCTGCCGTCTTTGAAATCGTCGTCGGCGTTGGCCTCCTCCATCCTCGCTGCCACCTTTGTTCTCTTTTTCTCTCAACTTTTCTGGAAAGAACGAGGGGAAGGAAAGGGACTTCCTCTTTGCTCGGGAGACAAAAGAAAGAGTAAGGAGAGGCGGATCGAGAGATAAAAAGTGAGATGAGGAAGAAGAAGAATCGAGCAGAAGAGGAGATGCAAAGGAAGAAGGCTTCCTTTCCTTCTTTCTTTTGTTCGCTAGAGAACGAGAGAGAGAACATAAAGGGGAGGGAAAAAGAGAGAGAGGGTGGCTAGGGTTTCTTCAATACCCAAACCAGTTCTTTATACCAAATTACTATTTTGTCCTCAATATTTCCACCAAATTACCTATGTGTCATCGTCTTCTGTAAAAATTCAAATCATAACTATATAGAGGAAAAACTGAGAAGTCACCCGCCAAAACTCTAATTTTCACCCGCTAAAACGAAAAAGTACATTTTAATTGTGCCTAATAGGTATTATGACAACCTAATTTGACATAATAAAAAGTGAAACCAATATATTATGACGAATCTGCATTTTGTCAGCTCGCGGTGGGAATAATAATGTCTATTATGAAAATAGGCTTTGTCATTTGAACATGTCATGACGGTATAATATGACAAACTCTATTCTGACGATTAACTTTGTCACTTTTGAGTCTCCTACATCCCGATTGGGGATGCCTATTTTGACAACATTATTTGTGACATAAGATAGTTGTCACAATACCCACCTATTATGACAAACTGTAATGACAAAACTCAACGTTGTCACATTAGGCACACCTAATAGGACAACGTCGCGTTTTGTCATATTACACACCCTATTGTGACAACCTGGAAATGACAAAAAATAATTTTTGTCATAATAGGCCAAATCTGTTGTAGTGATTACCAGTCGTAGCGGCTGGTAATCCGATTCAAGTCATATCAAAAAAAAAATTTGATCATAGAAAACATATTTATAAAGAATATAAAAAAAAATGTGTGACACCTACGCATGAACAGAGACGGTGACCTAATACCCTTGAGATGAACTGATGGTTGAGAATCCCGGTTTCTATGTTAAGGAGAAAAACTTGAGCATGTGAAGGTGACAAAGATGATGAAGAAAATCAACTATTGCAGTCATACGAGAGTTAGTTGATAGAGGAGAAATGTTTGGTCTAGAACTTTGCTCTGCGGATTGAGGAGAGGAGACCAAGGCTGCTGGCTTGTTGATAGGAACTGAGCATTCTAGAGATGATGTCAAGAGAAGTGACTTCACAGTTGGCATGGGGAAAGACGATGATGAGGTTGGGAGATCCAAATAAATCCTCATCTACCATGTAAAAGTAAAAAACTGGTTCAAGGTTGGGAGACTAGTGAGAACGGGAATATGTGCTTTAAAGAGAACACATTATGCAACATGTAAATATGATGGTCTCTAGATCATAGACCCATTAAACGCATTGGGAATATGGATATCCAAGAAAATATTTTGCTCGACTAGATGGGAAATCTTTGGAAAGATGTAGATGTGTGTATGTTGCATATAATAAGCACCCAAAGCTGCGAGGATGTGAATTTTTAGAACTTTTTCCGAACAGAAGTTCAGTAGGGATGGGGCTGAATGGAGACCAATGATAAACATTAGGGATGGAGTTTCGGTTAGTTTGATTATAATTGGTAACCGATTGGACGGTTATCGGCTAACTGAACTGCCGGCTCTCCTTACCGACAACTGACCGAAATAGGGATGTAGACTTCGGTTATCTCGGTTTTTGGTTAACCAAACCACCTCCAAGACCGAAACCATCTCGAACAGCCTCCAAACACCGACTAAATTTCGGTTATCTCGGTTATCGGTTAGTGAATAACTGCCCAAGTATTGGGTTAATTGGCCGGTTATCGAGTTAACCGACTGGTTAACCGACAACCCGTAACCGAAACTCCACCCCTAATAAAGATTGGTGAGATAAGCAACAGTAAGCACACACTCTTCCTATAACTGAGTTAGTAATCCAAAGTTGAAAAGTAGTGAATGAGTGGTATTCAACAAGTGTTGATGCTTATGTTCTACAACTCCATTATGTCGAGAAGTGTTAGTAAATTAAAAGAAGTTTGAAGGATGACCCTTTCCTTCTTATAACAATCTTTTAATTTGGGAACCTTAAACACCCAACTATTATCACTCTGAATAAGTTTGATGCACCCACCATATTGAGTAAAAAATTGATTAAAAACATTAATTAGATAACGAGCAACTATAGACTTGTACTGAAGTAAATAACTCAAATAGCTCGATACAAATCATCCACTATAGTAAGAAAATAATGTGTTCCACTGAATGAAGCTTGCTTGTAGCACCCCCCAATATCTATGTGTATAAGTTTAAAACAAGACTGAGTTTTAATAGTATTAGCTAAAAAAGGAAGACAAGTATGTTTGGCTTTGACACAATGAAAGCACGAGTCTTCATTAAATTGTTAATACTAAAGTGCAGAAAATATAAGGTTGTAACATTGTGTACTAGTTTAAGAGGGATGTCCAAGTCTTGTGTGCCACGATTCAGAATTGAACGACTTGTCGTGTTGAAAAGGCTACTAGATGATCATCTTCTAACATACATTAATAGTAGATGAAATCAAGATGTTCCTCATCCCAATCATTTCTTTTGAGTACCAGTCCCGAGTGACACAAAAATTACTCATAAAGATTAACACAACCAAGTGATCCATTGTCAGACGGCCGAAGAAAATAGGTTGAACTAAAAATCTGGAACATGCAATACACGACCAAGAACTATTCCATTTTGTAACTTAGAAACCCCAATATCACAAATTGGAATCCTTTTGCCATTGTTAATCGTAACCTGTAAGGGTGAGTGGTTTTCCAACTCACAAGTAAATAACGATTTATATATAGAAATGTGCTTGTTACAATGAGAATCAATAACATATGCATTATGGAAATAAAAATTATTACCATATAGGTTGCTTTTGTGTGACAACGAGACTTGTGGGAGGTCTGAGAGAAAAACCTTGAGTTGGAAAACCTAAATTGCTAATGATCCAAGAATGTGAGAGTCCATATTACTCCCAACATTAGCCGCAAAGGTTCGACCCAAGTTTGACAAGATTTATACCTTTTTGCTGATTCTGCAGTAAGTGCAGAATAGGCGCCCTTCCAAAGTCAGTTCATCAAAGCATAGTTTCTCCCCCTTGGCCTTAAATGCATTCGCTTATTTCCTAGGAATAGAGATCGTTAGTGATAATCCAATGTTGCTCATCATTGGCGATGACATGATAAGCCTCCCCCAAGATGAGTTTTGATAGCCGAGATCCCAATCCAACTTTAAAAATTTTGCTGTATAACCATCCGCTCCAGGGGCATTATCATTACCCATGCCAAAAAACAATTATTTAATTTAATTTCTTCTCTTGTAACAGGTGAAATCAGTGAATCAACATCCATATCTTCAAGTTTATGCACCAATTCCAATAGCTTTTGAAAGTAACCAGTTGTATCTTGCACATTAGAGTCAACCTTACCCAATAACCCCTTATGAAAGGCAACAACCATTTTCACATCTCTTTTACTTCAGCGACCATTTCTCCATAATATTTAGGGTTAATACCCTAGTTTGGCACGAAGTATAGCGTTAGTGACAGTTCTGGCTCCATTTTTCAAATAAGACATTTATGGCCCGCTTTTGAATTATTGGACAAATTTGGCCCGGGATTTTCTTTGACCGTTAATATTAACAGTCAAACACTTATTCCGTCAGTGACTCAACATCTAGTGCTGAAGTGCCAGTGATGTGGCTTCCATGTCATTTATTTATGCTAAAAAATAAAAAATTATATAATAATAAATAAAACAAAAATAAATAACATAAAGATTCTGGATTCTCCTCTATTGACTCTCTTCTTTATTCTTCCTTCTCCTCCTCTATCTTTCCCTTCCACATGCCCCTCCACCTTCCCCATCGTTGTGGTAGCCGTCCCGTCCGATTCCACTTCGTCGTCGTCAGCAACATCGGCGGATTCCCTCGAAAATCATCTTCTCCCTCGAATCGATCTGGAGGAATATCAAAAGCGATGGGAAGCTAGCGGCTGGGGATCTGAGGCCGACCATTTCGTCTTCTCTCCTCGTCGTCCACTGCACATCCTCCGTCCATGGCAACCTTCGTTGTTGCCATCTGTCGTCATTTTCATCCCTTGCCGCATTCCTTCTTCGCCTCTCCTCTCCAATCGACACCAGCCCTCGTCGTTGCCATCGTCCCTAAAAATCTAATCTCAAGCGAAATGAAAGTAGCGAAAAGAAAGCAGGTTGAATCCAATCGACTGGTCGCTAGAGAGGTTCATGATTCTCGGCCTTCTTGTTCTAGGTCAAGTAAGCGGTGACTGGATCTGGGAGTCATGGTAGCGGTGGTGAGTGCGGCGATGTTGAGCCCGACGTTGGTATTTGTTTCACGACCCGTCGTCTCCCTCCGCTCCATCAACTCCGTCGCCTCACTCTGCTTCATCGACTTGGCCGTCGGACACACACCAGATCCAAAATCCCCATTTCATCTTGGTGATTGGTCTCGGCAAATTTATTTGGGTAAAGGGAAAAATATATTCCAGGAAGAGGAAATGGAAGATGCAAAGACTCCTTTAGATTCATTCCCACTCGTTGTTGATGTTCTTTTCGCGGGACGGACGTTGTCGGCGATGCCAAAGACGAAAGAAGGAGATACAGGCGAAGTGGGAAGAATAATGGCCACGGGAGGGGGGTTTTCTTGTTTTTATTTTTTAGTTATTTTTTTAGTTTTTTATTGGCAAATAATTGATGTGGCAGCCATGTCATAGCCACCTCAGCATAGGATTTTGAGTCACTAACAGAAAAATACATTGACCGTCAGTTTTGACAGTCAACATAAATTTTGGGCCAAATCTGTCCATTAATTTGAAAAGTAGGTCAGAAATGTCTTATTAAGAAAATTGGGCCAAAACTGACACTTACGCTAAACTTCGGGCCAAACTAGGGTATTAACCCTAATATTTAATAAGCTTCTGAATAGTTTGCTTATGATTTCTAGCTTTGACCATTGAAATAAACTTGTATCCGCATCTCCCTCAGTAATCCGTCCAATTCCTGACTTTTGCTTGAAAAAATTCTCCTCTACACTTTGCAACTCCCTACACAAAGCTATGAAGGATAAGATAGAACACTCATTAGCATAATTTCCAGCTTATCTTCAGCTCTCTTGTTCTCAAAGATAACTCAAAAACATAAGTCTTATTCAAACTCTTAAACTTGTCATTAAGTACTCTCAACTTCTAATAAAGAATGAAATAAGGCACCCTAGTAGCCTCAGTACACCATGCTTCCTTCAACTTATTTAAGTACTGAGGGTGTTGCCTCCCAAATGTGAAAAATTTGAAAGGCTTTGGCAGTGAATCAACCAAATGACCAGTTTGAACAAAAAGACCACACTAATCTGACACACCTTGAGCCAAGGTCTGAATTAAACTAAGTTTAAAATTATCCAACCAAGCATCAATTACCAAAGCACGATCAATTCTACGAGCAATAGGATTATTAGACTATTTTTTTCACCAAGTGAACCATGAGCCAAGAACCTTATTATCCACCAATTTCATATCCACTATCCATTTCCTAAAATATGATGTGCTTTGATTCAACACTGGAGTATTAAAATCCTCAAAGCTATCAACAATAGCATTGAAATCATCACAAAAGATTCAAGGCTCACTATTGACGGGATATCTTCTCAACTCTTTATACAAGGCTGCTCTTTCATTGGTTTTGTTTGGACTATATATTGTTGTGATCACACAAGACTCGATACCAGATTTATGTCGTAGTTGTACATATTTTACACCTTTATATCTTGATTGTTTGACTTGGTAATCGCCATTCCTCGACCCGTTTTACGCTAGGTTGTGTTTTTAAAAATCATATTTCAGTTTCTATTACGTGTGGGAAGTTGACTTGCTCTGACTATCACAATAAAATCCCACCTAAGGTACACTATTATAAACCTTAAATGGGTTCAATATAGGGCAAGTATGTTTAAATATCGACCTGGCTGGCTCATGTACCGAAACTTCGACTGTTTGAAAAATTATCTAGCGGATTAGTTTTGGTGAAAACAAAGGTCTAAAACTAAAGTACTTTGCAAGGGTAAAATGGATTTGACACTAATTGAGAAGGCTTCACCTAGGTGTTGCTCCCCCAGCTAACAATTACGATTTGAAGAATCAAACGACCGTGTTTGGTTAGGGGGTCATAAACCGCAGGGATGTCTAACAAGTAACCAAGGCTACCCTCTTAGTCTCTAGATTGAGGAAATGGGATATGATCCAAGTCGCTAATGCGACCCTCTCAACCTATCAACTAAGGAATGGTTAGACTTCACCCTAGAATTGGAGTAGGAAACGGCCACCCACAACCAAACCCTAAGTGCTAATACAAAATAGGAGGGTTGCCCTCAATTAACCTATAATAGGATGCCTGTAATGCCCAAGGGAACCCATCTCTAATAGAGCCTCTTAGGTTAAGGAGGGTTCTCTCTAAACTTGTGTAGGAGGCCTTGAATGCCCAAGGAAACGCAACTCAAATTGAGCCTCTTTAGATAAAAGAGGTTTCCTCTCTAAACTAGCCTAGGAGGCATGCAATGCCGAAGAACACCCATCTCTAATTCAACATCTTAACCTAAGGAGGTCTCCTCTCTAAGTTAGGTCAACATAGTACACACAATCACCATGAAAAAATGCCTCCACATTCACATTAAACACAACCACACACAAATCATTCAATTCATACAAGCATTCACATAATTGTAGCTAGGGTTTACAAACACCCAAGTGAAAGAAGGGACTACTCCATGCTAGGAGAAGGGAAAACACAAGAGTGGGAAAGGAAAACCATCAAGAAGATGAAAGCCTTGCTCCTTGTGTTGAAGAGATCCTCCTTTGGGAGAGGAATTCCGAAATCCTTGCTTGGAGATGAAACCCTAACTTCTCCTCTTCTTTGGTTTGTCACTTTCTCACTCTAAAATCTGAAGAAGAAGAAGAAGAAGTTTCTCACACTAGGTCTCTCCCCCTCTTATTCCTTTCAGCTGGCTCTTTAAACTGAGATCGAGCCTAGTTCATGGCTATAATCAAAACGCGTTCGTGAAATCCTTAAGCTGGATCAAAACGCAGTGTGTTTTGATCCATCTTAAGGAATTCATGGACGCGTTTTGATGTTCACGGCCGTGAACCCAGGCCGTGAACTAGGCTCGATCTCAGTTTAAAGAGCCAGTTGAAAGGAAGAAAGAGGAAAGGGAGGCCTAGTGTGAGAAACTTCTTCTTCATATTTTAGAGTGAGAAAGTAACGAACCAAAGAAGATGAGAAGCTTCTTGATGGTTTTCCTTTCCCTCTCTTGTGTTTCCCCTTCTCCTAGCATGGAGTAGTCCCTTCTTTCTCTTGGGTGTTTGTAAACCCTAGCTACAGTTATGTGAACGCTTGTATGAATTGAATGATTTTGTGTGTGGTTGTGTTTAATGTGAATGTGGAGGTATTATTCATGAATGATTGTGTTGTGTGAAAGCCTATCAATCTAATTGCCATTCTAACCTAGGTAGAGAGAAAACACCCATCCTTTCTTTGAAAGAGGCTTGAATGCTGGGTTTTCTTGGGTAATCCGTTGCCTCCTAGTTAGGTTAATGCAGCGCAAACCTCATATTTTGTATTAGCACTTAGGGTTTGGTTGTGGGTGGCCGTCCGAACTCCAATTTGAGGGTGAATTCTAACCTTTCCTTAGTTAACAGGTTGAGAAGGTCGCATTAGCGGCTTGGATCGTATCCCATTTTCTCAACCTAGAGATTAAGAGGGTAACTTAGGCTACTTGTTGGACAACCTTTTCTTAGTTAATAGGTTGAGAGGGTCACATTGGCGGCTTGGATCATATCCCATTTCCTCAACCTAGAGACTAAGAGGGTAGCTTTGGCTACTTGTTGGACAACCATTCCTTAGTTAATAGGTCGAGAGGGTCGCTTTAGCGGCTTGTATCGTATCCCATTTCCTCGACCTAGAGACTAAGAGGGTAGCCTTGGTTACTTGTTAGACTTCCCTGCGGTTTATGACCCCCTAACCACACACGGTCATTCGATTCTTCAAGCCATAATTATTAGCTGGGGGAGCAACACCTGGGTGAAGCCTTCTCAATTAGTGTCAAATCCATTTTACCTTTGCAAAGTAATTTAGCGTCAGACTTTTGTTTTCACCAAAACTAATCCGCTAGATAATGTTTCAAACAATCAAAGTAGCGGTACATGGGCCTGCTCAGGTCGATATTTAAACATACTTGCCCTATATTGCACCCATCTAAGGTTTATAATTGGGCCTTATGTTGGATTTTATTGTGATAGTCAGAGCGAATCAAGTTTTTGACGCCGTTGCCGGGGACTTCGGTCCGTTATCATGAAAAGATTGTTTTTTTTGTTAATCTAGCTTTTAATTTCTATTTTGTTACGTTGGAAAGTGTTTGCTTGTGCTAGACGTGCTGTTTTCTTTAAGTGTGTGTAGGGAGGTGCATGACCCGGAGCAATCCGATACCTTTAACACCACTGGACGAGGACATCAATCGGACTCTCCGACTTCTAACTCGAGAGAGGGAGCAAGCGGAGTCAAGAAGGAGAAGTGAAGAAAAGGGACAACAAGTTGGTCCCGGAATTGAAAGAATTGAAGGAGAAGTTGAAGTTGAGATAGCGGGGAATCAACACCGAGGGAGCAGAGGAAGATCCAAGGACTATGGGATATTACATGGCTCCACGGGCGGCGGATATCCAATATCCCATCTTACATCCACTCGTGGCCCCAACAACTTTGAAATCAAGCCCTCTCTCGTGACGATGATTCAACAAAACGCCTACTTCCATGGGCTTGGTCATGAATCACCACGAGAGCATGTCGAAAGGTTTCTTGAGCTAGCGGGAAGCTTGAAGATAAATGGACTCCCCGAGGAGGCATTGCGATTCAAGATCTTCCCCTATTCTTTGGCGGTGAAGGCACTTCGATGGCTCAACAACCATCTGGCTCTATCTATCACCTCTTGGGACGACCTACTCATCAACTTCATGACCCGATATTGTCCTCCTTCTAAGAAGACCGAGTGGAGGAAGAAGATCACTCACTTTGAGCAAGAGGATGATGAGACATTGAGGGATGCATGGGAAAGATTCTCTGACTACTTCCTCCAATGCCCTCACCATGGATTCGAGGAGAAATCTCGAATAGAAACTTTCTATGGAGGACTCATTCAAGATGACAAGATCCTCATCGACTCTCTTTTCCAAGGGAAGTTGATGAACATGACCCCTCCTCAAGTGACTGATTTGCTCGAAGATATGGCTCTTAAGAGATATGATTGGGGCTTGACAAGAATTGGAAAGATAAGCACCGAAATAGGAGTGCAAAGTGTGGGAGCAAGTGCTCCACTTGAAGCGAAGCTTGACAAGTTGATTGAGGTGATCCTTGAGGACAAGAAGCAAGAAAAGAGAGTGGTCATGTCTTGTGATTGGTGTTCAAGCACTAATCATGAAATTGCAGATTGCCTAGTAATGAAGGAGACAAGTAACCCCGAGGAGCAAGTGAGTTTCATTGCCAATGCTAGAGGGAAAAACCCTTATCGCAACACCTACAACCCCTGGTGGCGCAATCATCCAAACTGCGCTTGGTCTTCCCCTACCAATCCAAGACCTCCCGGTTTCCAAGGTCCAACGGGCAACTATCAACCTCGACCAACCTTCATTCAACAAAGGCCTCAATTCCCAAACTCGAACTTCCTAAAACTATACCAAGCACAAGGCGGTCAAGGGTTTCAACAAGAACAACAACAAGTCAACAAGTTCTCTAAGCTTGAAGACCTTGTGACCTCCTTTGTGAGTACAAGATCTCAGAAGTTCGAGAAGATTGAGCAATTCATGGATGTGGTAACCTCCAAGTTTACCTCGGTTGCGGCGGGACTCCGAAGCCATCAAGCAAGTCTCCAAAACTTGGAAGTGCAAATTAGCAATCTTGTCGGGATCCTCACCAAGATACCAAAGGGAGCCCTACCCTCTCAAACCATTACCAACCCCAAGGATCATGCCGTGGTGAATGCAATTCATTTGAGAAGTGGGAAGGTGACTCCGGAGGTTGTTGCCAAAGAATTGAATGAGAAGGAAGACACTCTACCCGAGGGTGAAGAAGAGGAAACCTCAGGGGGAAAAGAGAAGAGTGGCGAGGAAGGCATCGCCGATGCCACCACCTGTGGCCGAGTACATGCCACCCCTACCTTTTCCCACAAGGATGAACAAGGAAAGATTGGAAGCGGTATGTGGAGGTTTCATGCAGATGCTCCGAAAGCTCCACCTCAACATTCCCTTCCTTTAAGCAATGACCCACATGCCAAGGTACTCGAGATACCTCAAGGGATTTCTCTCCAAGAAGCCGAAGTTTGAAGACCTCGCCAATATCACCCTAGGAGAGGAGGGCTCAGCCTTCATCCTCAACAGGTTTCCCAAGAAGCAACCCGATCCAGGTAGTTTCACTATACCTCTTTGCATTAGTTCTCATCATATAGAAAATTCCTTGGCAGATTTAGGGGCGAGCATAAATGTGATGCCATTTAAGCTTTTTAAGAGGCTAGACAAAGGTGAACTAAAGACCACAAGGCTTAGTGTCAGATTGCCCGATCGCTCCATCATTAGTCCTAGGGGCATAGTGGAGGACGTGCTAGTACGAATGGAACAATTCTGTTATCTAACGAATTTGTGATCCTGGATATAAGTGAAGATTCTGAGATGCCACTCATACTAGGACGCCCTTTCCTTGCCACCGCCAAGGCATTAATTGATATAAATGAGAGAAATTTGATTCTGAGGGATGGTGCGGGGAGAATTACTCTTGGAATTGATCCTAAGCCTAGGAGTGAGGAAGTGAAACCGGGTGATGTGTATGCAAGTGGAGGAGAGCCTTGCAACACGAACCCCACCATTACTGTTGGTTCCTGTGATGATGTGAAGCAGGAAGCAAGGAGGGCATCTCGCCCAAAGAAGGAAGGAAAAGATCTCGGAGAGAAAGGATAAGTTACGCTAATGCCTGGTGGAAGGAGAAGGGCAAAGCATAAGTCATTGGCTGAGAAGGCCACCCCATGGAGAGAAAGTTGAGAGGCGACATGCCTCGCCCCGAGAACGTGGCAGATCCACTCTCAGCTGCATCACGTTCAAAGGCGTGATAGATCCGCTACGTCAAGCTAGTGACATTAACTTAGCGCTTGTTGGGAGGCAACCCAACGTAGGTTTGTTTTCTTTTCCTTATTTTCGTTTTTTTGTCGAGTGAAGAGTTCAAGTGGTCGATTGGTATCCCCATGAAGTGTTTTTGTGATTGAGTGTTTTGAGTTGCGTCGTGAATGATAGTAGGCACGGTGGAGTAGGTCGAGTAAATTTTTTTGGAAGTACCATGTTTTCACTATTGTTCACAGACGGATTGCCTGTTAACGGTCTTATAAATCTGTGAACAGGAAAACGCATCCGTGAACCAGGGTGTTTCCACGTGTGTCAAACCCATCGACTTGCCTGAGTTCACGGACGGATTGCAGTGTTCACGGTCTTAACGACTGTGAACTGGCAAGCGCGTCCGTGAACTGCAGGGTCTGCCAATAAAAGGGCCATGAATGGTTTTCCTTCACTTCACGACCCAAAACTCGCCTAAAAACCGCAAAAATCCGACGGTTTTTGCCCATCTCATCCACTTCCGGCGACCAAAACCCAAAACCAAGACCAGACCCAGTCTCCCCGCATCAAAAGCGGCCATCGCTGAGATTTTGGGGAGATTTGGAGCATTTTTCTTCAGGTGAAGTCGCCGGCAGCGAGGCTCCGGCGAGACTCCACGAGCTTCCGACAAAGCTCAGGTGACCCTCCTCTGGTCTGTTTTCAGCCAATTTTTTCGCCTTCCTCGCCCTCTCCTCACCTCTCTACCCTTCCAACTTGAGTATCTAGGTTTGTTTTCAGCTCTACCTTATTTATTTTGGGAGAATCGGATTAGGTAGTGAAGTGAGGAGAATTTTAGTGAATTGAATGTTGAACTTAGCATTAGGGTGATGAATTAGGTGAATTAGGGTGATTGAATGATGTTGCTTGAGATTAGTTGAGCCTTGGTGGCCATATTTTGATTCGAATTGCTTTTATTTGTGAAATTTGCCCACCAAGTGCTAATTTTTGAATGATGTGAAATGTTTATGCTTGAGTGGTGGTTCGTAACCACTATGGCATGGTTTGGGTTTAGATTTTTTTTTTGTGGGATAACCGTGAACACCAAGAACCATGCCTCGGTGTGCTTGTGATTAATTTTTTTGATTAGCATGGGTCGTAGTGGAAATTTAAGTGTGGGGCGAATTCCTTTTTCCTCCCAATGAGTTTTGCACGTATAGTGCATGTTTTTCGGTTTTGCAGGATGCTTAACGTGCAGCACGAGTACGTCAGCTACTTGGTGAACCACGCACAGGTCGGGACAAAGTTTGCATACTAGAGGGCCCGATTGGCCACATTGGCGGCTGGACCTGGACATGTTTAACCTGTTCAGGTGCCGAGCCATGATGTTAGGTGCTGAGCCCCCCCCCCCTAGTGGCGCCAGCTGTTGTCTATGGACGAGCTCATCTATCACGAGCTCTGCGTGGAGTTCTACTCCACCTTCGCCCACGTCGTCCCGACCAGCAAGTTAGCCACGTGGAATTTATGATGGGCGGTTAGCCACGGGTGTTGACCTATGATGCATTCGCCCAGGCCATGGGGCTCGCCACGATATAATGCGGCAATATACCGTCGACTTCCACTACCAGGCCGCATTCCAGGCCCTCTGGCGCTCCGAGCACGAGCAGGACGAGTTCGAGGCTGGCCGCACCAATGCGGTGAAGCTAAGGACCCCTTGGAGGATCATGGACACACTGCTCACGCGATCGGTCATCCCCGCTCGCAATCAGGGCTCTTGATCACGAATAAAGAGCTGCTTAATCTCTTTTCAATGAGGCATCCAGCAGAGCCGATCCACCTGGGATCTCTGATAGCCACCTATTTCGCCCGGTGTCTGGGGCGAAACAGGATGGACATTATGCATATGGGGGGGGGGGCATCATCACTAGGCTGGCTCGACACTTTCAGGTGGATCTGGAGCGGTGCTCCATTGTTGGTCAGACAAAGCCCTTCCCAGTGGCGACTCTCTACAACGAGAAGCTAGTGCTTCAGGGAGAGCGGGGGGTAGAGTACCTTGAGGGGCTCCGACCCTCAGGAGTCATGCGGCCGGTAGTTGACCCGGCTCTAGTGGAGCCCGATGCAGAGGTTCCACCTCCTAAGCAGCCACCACCTCGAGCTTCCGGCCGCCGCCAGCGTCCCGCGCTCCAGCGTCCTGCAGCAGCAACACCACCACCAGCAGCAGCACCATCCGGTGCCGGTCCTTCCACTTCAGGGTGCCCCGAGTGGAGCGAATGGACCATCTAGAGACCCACGTCGTGGGCATCACTTTCCGGCTAGACCGGCATACCACCCTGCTCGAGCGGATCGCTCGTCGCAAGGCCCTCATTCCAGATGATTTGCAGGGGCCTTCGACCTAGTGAGAGGTAGCCGACGAGTGATACATGTGGCAGAGCCAATTCCTTTCGCCCCACTTCTCCACTTGGAGCTCTAAACTCTGTTGTTTTATTTTTCTTTCTTTTATTTAGTATGTGTGAACAACTACTACTATCGTATTGTTTTTTGTAATAACCTCGTCTCGAGCGAGTATGTTTTGTGTTTGTGTGTGTGTGTGTTTTTGTCTTCTCCTTGAAGCTAAACTCTCCTACCCCGGAAAAATTCTAACTTTCGCACACCAAGCTAAGCGGTAACATCGTTCTACCCCTATCTTACGCCGTTGAGGGCAATGTAAAACTTAAGTGTGTGTGTGTGTGGGGGGGGGGGGTAGTTTATTCTTATGCTTGTGTGAGTGTGTTTGATGCTTGGAGCCTTGATGTATGCCCAAATTTGAAAATTTTGAGGGCTCCAAGCAATGTTTGCATATTTTCATGTGTGTAAAAATGAATGGATGTCTTGACTCGATTACTTGTTGATTACAATTGCCATTCATTGTGTTTTTTGAAATTGGAATGAATGATTGGGTGACTAGGTAGTTAGGTGAGTTTTGAGCCGATCGTTTTCTTATTGTGTGCTTAGATCCCTCTTAACATGGCGAGTAACATCATAGTTGTCACTAGTGAGTATGATGGAGGCATAGGATTAGTCCACGCCCGAATGTTGGTTGTCCCCAAATGCTTTATCCCCTTGTCAACCTCTTTGAGCCTTGTGACTTTGGGGATCGTTCTTTTGTAGGAGCATTTTGCTTTTGAGTTTAATGGTGTTTGATAGAACGACCCGACATCCTTTCTTCATGTCTAAACGTGAATCGTCCTTGCGTCCCGTAGCACTCACTTTTGAGTTCCATTGAGGTTCTACATAAGAGGATTGTGTGTGGTTCTTGCTAGGAATGAAAGAGAAAAGAGTAGTGTTGGAGTGAGTTTTTAAAAGAGAGCATTGGTTGTTAAAGGTAAAGTGGAAAGTGTTCAACTCTCTAATACCCCCCTCAAAAAGAAAAGAAAAGAAAAGAAAAGAGAAAAAGAAAACTGGAAATAAAAAGGAATAAAAAAAGAGGTAATAAAACGGGGTAAATAAAGTAGAGAGTGCCACAAAAGATTCAAAGAGTATGCTCTAAGTATGGTTTCTTGGCACACAAGCCATTGAAACCCCCACATTGTTTTAGAGCTCCTTCACTACCAAGTCAAAATGTGATAGCAAGAGTAGACTGAGGAAGAGCGCTAAAGGAAGTTCATGACGAGTGATAGTTTGGAAGGGAGAAGTAAGGTTTTTGGCCGATGCTAGTGGCCATTGTTTGTAGGGAAGATTCGTAGTAGAAACCATAGAACCTTAGGGTTTAGGGTGAAGATTTAGGACCTCATGATGTGTTTGCCACCACCCAAAAAGCCTTTTCCCCATGTCCAAGACAATTGCCAGTCATTTGAACCCGTGTCTAAGACCTCCGGACAAGCTAGTGATTACAATCGTCCCGTGAACTGTAACATTTAGAGGTTGTCTCCATGGCGACGAGACGATAGCTCCGAGTGGTGATGATTGTGCACATTCTTTGCTCCAAAAAGGTCCTGACCCCACTGGTCAAGAGAGTGAGTGATTCATTCTTGCTTTGCATGTCATATCATACCTCGGTGAGGACATTTGTTTCCCATTCGTTTGTTCCATGGACTTGAATGTTATGCATGGTTAGTTGTGGTTGATAAGTAATATTGTTGAGACTTGCATTGATTCATGAACAAGGTGAGAACTTTTCGTTTTCCCTTTTTGGTGACCTCGAATGTCATTTGTGGTGGATGTCGGTATTCCTTGCAACGGTCCATGTGTTAATTGCCAATAGCCACTGAGATTTGCCACTTTGTGCCCTTTGATTTGTCCCCGAAGCATTTTTGTTAGGTTGAGAGATTACCTTGTGTGAAATGGTTTGCTTGGGGACAAGCAAACATCTCGGGGTGGGGGAGTGATTCGGGTCTAATTGTACACTTATTATCCCCGTTTATTATTGATGTTTGTTGCAATTGAACTCCAAAAAGGGTGGTTTTACGCGAGGTTTCTTATGTTTCACTGTGTTTCAGATCTTAACAGCTGAAACCAACCCCGGAGTCGAAAGTTAGAAGAAAAGGAGCAAAGACCGGTCAAAGAGGAGGAAACAACCACAGTTCACAGTCTGCAATTGGAGTTCACGGTCTCTAAGACCGTGATTTGGAGCCAAAATCCGTGAACCAAGGAGCGTCTAGAGAGGGTTTTTGAGGTTACTGATGCCAA